GCCTTGTTTTCCACCGGTTGGCACTCGGAGGTACACTTCGCATGGGCCGAGGACCCATGCAAATGCCGGAGGGTGACGGTTAAACTCTACATCCTTGTGCAGCAAGTGTAACCGAAAACATGACGGAGGATTGTGTTCTGGAACTACAAATCATTGTTTTCGTAGCAAAGAGACCGGACATATAAAGAGGCATTGTCCTACGTCACGGCAGAGTATGAATGCTATGGGGACTGGACGACCTCAATCTATCGGCAGAGTGGTTATCATGAGTGGTGAAGATGCATCAGAAGCAGATGGTCTGACCCGATGTAGGATGTATGAGGGGAAGGTGAATGAAAACCAACGATCATATGCTCTAACTGTTATCCATCGTAACCATTGTGATCAAGGGTCGAAACCTACCGTTGGAGGATTTCAACCCGACGTATTTCCTATGTGCAGCAAATGTGGGCGAAAGCATGTGGGAACCATTTGTCCTGGTTCGGGAAATGGTTGCTTCCACTGTAAGGAAAAAGGGCATATAAAAAGGTTTTGTCCGAGGTTGGCTCAAAAGGTAAATGTCGTGGAGGTTGGGAGGCCTAGTACAACGGGCCAAATGAGCAACGTTAGTGGTATAGATATGTCCGATGTTGATGGTGGATCCGAGGTAAACGCATGGTGACAGGTATTCCTTGTTTAGTGTTGTTGATTCGGGAACGACACACTCCCTTATATGTGTTAGATGTGAAAACCGGCTGAAATTACAAACTGAGTCATTACTTCCGACTTGGTCGTGTCCATCCCAATCTGTGTGCTGATGGTGGTGTTGACATTTATGTTCTAGAATCCGGTTGTGGTAAATGGTGTGATATTTACCGTAGATTCAGTCTACTTGTCGCTATCCCACTTAGATAAAAATTATGGGGATGGACTGATTGTCGGCATATCATGTTATGATTGAATGGTGCTGACAAGGTTGTGGCGGTTGGGGATCTGTGCGAGATCTCTGACCAGGCTAGTGGTATGGGGCCAGTGTCGGCTAAGAGAGTGAGAACTTCCATTCGAAAAAGTGATCGGTGTTTATTCTGTACATGTCACGAGAGGGTATTTAAGAACTCGTTAGTATTTCGAGATGTTAAGATTTGAAAGGACTATTTATTTTGTCTTGGAAAGTGGACTTTCGTCTATAAATGATTGACTTTTATAATAAGTATGCTGACAAGAAAAATGTTTAAGTCGGGGATGCTTGTTTTCTCTTACGAGTTGTTAAAGGTTAATTCCTTTTGTTGGCCTTAGTGGGTATGTGTATGCTAAGGGGGTAAGGAGTATATTGATAGTCGAGAAAAGAGGATAGTTAAGTTACTTACCCCGTCGATGTGATGAATACATTATATTGGACGTGAAACTTTTGGTCTCGAAGGACCGGTTCTTTTGCGGTAGGACATTGGCAATGCATGAAATAGTGGTGGTGTACCTAAGTTGTCTGCATTGAATGTTGTACCGGCAAAAGTTGTTGCTGTTTCGTGAACGTCAGTAATGACAGTGTTTGAGTGTGATGTAGCCATATGAGAGAAGGAGTTTTGGGTTGTGTTGAACTGATTATGTAAACTTTGTTTCATAAGTCGTGGATTCAAACCGTTTTCGAAAATCCTTTTCTTTGGGTGAAACATAGCCTGTGGCTAAGAAATGATTTAGTATCATGTTGGAGAATTCCGAAATTTTAACAACCATATCGGAATAAGTTTGAGGTTGTTAGAAGTTTAGTGATATAAGACGCCCATGTATTTCTGGACGTAATGCGAGTGGGATACTAAGTTTATATTTACTAACGGAATTGGGGTGACCAAACCGAACGCAAGTTGTAGGTTTGAGTGTTGGTCGACTTGTGCTTGCCGATTGGTAACAAAGTACCTAGTTTTGGTGTGAATCAATAGTTTTATGGTTCAGTTGAGGCTAGAAATCGGTAATTTCTTTAGACGATAAGATTTGATGGTAGAAATATTTGATGTAATTGGACAATTACTGGATAGTTTAATTTTATACAATGGAGGAGACACTAAGAGTCCTATTGTGTAAGTACTTTGTTGATTGAGTGAAATGGAATCGTGCTAGATTCTTGAGTGGAGATGAAACTAGCTAGTGTATGATGGATGTTAAAAGACGCATTTAGATAGATATGAGATAAGGAGTTCCCCATTCGCTAAAGTTCGAGAATGTTATCGAAATTCTTAATGTATGTTAGGGTTGATAGATGGATAGGTGCTAGAGATCAATGGTTCTTGATGGATATAGGGAAAATCTTTAGTCTGAATTATGGATTAGTTCCCATGGCACTCGAGTTATTAAAGGCCGAGATCTTAACATTTGGACATTGAGGAGTTAGTTCATGAATTGGTTTGGTGATATCACGGTTTAGTGGTGTATGCCCTTAGTGCTGATTAAGTAATCTTAATGAATTAGGGGATCGGTTATGATTTCGGTTGGATATTCTTGTGCCTAAGGTCAGGTGATGATTTTATTTTCCGAGGTATGTTTAATTTTCAGGGACGAAAATTTTCATAAGAGGGGGAGGATTGTAACACCCTAAATTTGAGTCTTCAAGATTATAGTAACAGTCCTGGAAGCCTCGCTTGAGCGAGAGTTGTCTCGCCTGGGCGAGAAATGGCAATTTTGGGCTGTTGACACAGTGTAATCGATTACACACTCCTGGTAATCGATTACATGCTGATAAACTAATCAGGCCTGTGCATCTGACACAATGTAATCGATTACACACTCCTGGTAATCGATTACATCGTATTAAAAGCATCAGATATGTGCATCTGGCACAGTGTAATCGATTACACACTCGTGGTAATCGACTACACACTCCTGGTAATCGATTACATCGTATTAAAAGCATCAGATATGTGCATCTGACACAGTGTAATCGATTACACACTCCTGGTAATCGATTACATCGTATTAAAAGCATCAGATATGCGCATTTTTCACGTTGTAATCGATTACACCATGTTGGTAATCGATTACAACCCGACGACACCTCTTTAAAACAGAAACCCAAACACGTTTTAGGGTTAGAACTTCGAAGAGAAGAGAGAGAGGAGAGCTTTTCAAGAGCAAGGAGCCTTAGGACTCATCTTAGAGCTTGAGAAGAGGTAAACCTCTTGTTCCTAACACTTCTTCTTCCTCTCTAACTTGTTTTGGGTATGTTGGATTTATTTTCAAAACATGAGAAACCATGGAAACTCATCCTTTAGAGTTATGGTTCGTTTTATGTTGTTTTTATCTTGTAAACTCTTGGTTTAGAGATAGTATCTCAAGAATGGAAAGGGTTGTGGGCTGATTCATGAAAACCCCAAAAACCCTAAAAGTGAAAATGTGGTAAAAGGAGAGAATGAGTAAAATGTTAGAGATAGAAGATGAGTTTACCCCAAATATTGAAATATGAGATGTTATGCATGTTTTAGATGGTTGAATATTGATGATGAATATTTTTGTATGATTAAATGATGCAAAATAAGTTGTTTATGTAATATTTGGAATAAATAACTAACATTGTGTTATGTGGTGGGATGAAAATAGATCCTAAGGTTGGATGTGGTGTCGGTAGAATTCGAGAAGTTGCCAAGAACCGAACCCCAATACTCACCAAGGTAAGAATAAGTCTTTAATTTTGCATTTGAAATAGAAAATGTGTATTTTCTGGTTATGCAAAGATTAAGTTGTAAATTACGCATTTAGTATAAACATATATGGGTGTGTTTATATTAAAGATGACGTAGATTTACGGAAAAGGAAAATGTGCGTATTTTCTGGTTATGAAATGAATAAGTTGTAAATTGCACATTTAGTATAAACATATATGGGTGTGTTTATACTAAAGTAGGCGTAGATTTACGAAAGATGGAAAACGTGTGCGTTTTCTGGTCATGCAATAATTATATTGTGAATCACGTAGTTAGTATAAACATATATTGGTGTGTTTATACTAAAGATGGCGTGGATTTACGGGAAATGATTGATGGTGAATTCAATGAAAAGAAAATATATTTTTAGCCGACCATAAATGGTTAGCGACTTCGGCCCGAGTTTACGAGGCAACACTTCGGCCCGAGTTTACGAGGCAACACTTCAGCCCGAGTTTACGCTGCATGTTTTCTTTATAAAAGAGATGAGAATTTGTTTTTAGCTTACCCTAAGGGGTGTAGCGACTTCGGCTCGAGTTTATGTAGCAACACTTCAGCCCGAGTTTACGCGGCATGTTTTCTTTATAAAAGAGATGAGAATTTGTTTTTAGCTAACCCTAAGGGGTGTAGCGACTTCGGCTCGAGTTTATGTAGCAACACTTCAGCCCGAGTTTACGCGGCATGTTTTCTTTATAAAAGAGATGAGAATTTGTTTTTAGCTAACCCTAAGGGGTGTAGCGACTTCGGCTCGAGTTTATGTAGCAACACTTCAGCCCGAGTTTACGCGGCATGTTTTCTTTATAAATGAGATGAGAATTTGTTTTTAGCTAACCCTAAGGGGTGTAGCGACTTCGGCTCGAGTTTATGTAGCAACACTTCGGCACGAGTTTATGAGGCGTGTTTTATTGCTAAAAAGGATGAGAATCTGCTTTTAGCTAACCCTGAGGGGTGTAGTGACTTTGGCTCAAGTAATGCAGCAACAGAAAATGATTTTCGGAAATGGTTTACTAACCCTTTTTCTAATGTGGATTATCTTATAATGACGTTTATTGAATTAACGACTTACTCCTTTGTGTGTTTTGTACTTTTGTCATTGATAATCCCATTGCAGGTAAATAGATGAATGAAGTATGCTAGATCGGGAGCTTTAGGAGCTTTAGACTTCAGATTCACTATTTATGTTTTTGTATCTTAAATGACTACTTGCGGATTTAAATGATTGTAATCATAGCTAACCATTAGTCGAATATTTGTAACTGGGTATATGGTTATTTCGGAGAACTATACTTATGGGGTCTCATTATCCGTGAGACATTACGAATATGAATTATGTTTTTCTGTCAAATCAAGTGTAGGTGATTATGGAATTTGAAAGTATGATAGTAAGTGTAGGAAAATGCATGCAAAATGATTAAAATGAACGAAAAATTTTCAAGGGTAGAAAATCGGGTCGTTACAAGGATGGTGGTTGCACCATGTTGGCGTGCCCACTCCAAGTTAAGAGTTGAGGCATGGTGCTTGGGCTAAGGCCCTAGTGTCATGACTCCTAGAGAAGAGGGCAAAGCGTGAGGCTGGTTTCACAGAGCAGCGAACACCTCTAGCTCCTAACAGTGGAGGGATCACATGCTACTGCACTTTCATCCCACTATAGCCTAGCTAGCCAAGCTACTTGAACCATCACTTTTTCTTAATGTATTTTTATCTTCTCGTGTTCACTAATTTTTTCAACTACTTCATGAATCAATGAAACATTAAACAACTCATATAATAGAGAGATAAATGGGAGAAAAATATTCACAATGCACATACGAACACAATTGGAACTAATACAATAAAATAAGGAGAATCTATCCTATTATCATATTTTTGCTCTCAAAATTTAGAGGTATATGATGAAAATAATTTAATTATGAATTAATGTTTACATAATGATAGTATGAACATTATTTATATTGTCATTTGTAGCACTCATCACACATATGTTTACTATCATACAACCATTAGCCCAAGTAATATAAATAAAAAGAGGTTATATATATATATATTAAATTCATTTAATAATTAATGCTATATTTATCAAATAACTTTTTTTATCAACATTGTTGACTTACCTAATGCATATGTTGTCATCTTTTATTAGGGGTTGGCTGTCATATTAGCATATATCATGCTCGATATTAATTAATATTTATCATAATGTAATTTTTCTGAATGTTTTGCTTTATTTGCAACTGCAATAAGTGAATATACCTCCAACGTCTTATTAGTATATCATCATTGTGAAAAGTGGTACAACTGCGTTCTTCGATTAGATTTAATTAATATTGATAATTACGTTAACAATATTATTTAAAGAGGAGAAAATATAAATGTTGTCTTAAACTCACGTTTAAAAACTTGGAGAAGTAGTGTAATTATTTTTTCAATATCAAAGTTGTGCTTGATTATATCGTGGGATAACAAAGGTATAAAAACAAAACACGATTAAATAAGTAATAACACGACTTTTATTCTATTTATTCTTTGATGGTTGACAAACATTGTTAGAATACCCTAATTAATACCTTCCCAAAGTATCGTATATAATATTGGGCAACATGATACTATGTCTAATGTCTCTAAGATATCTTTCCAATGAGGAAAACTGTCTTTTCATTATAGAGGAATCACTTTTTTGGACAAACAAAACTATATAAAATGTAAAAATATACATTTCACTAGTGATTAGGTAGCTTTGGCAATAGTAGTAGCAATGGTAGTCATGCCTATGGTGTTTGCATTAGCGATACTAGTGTTTGCTACAAAAACGACAATAGATACAAATGTGGTGGTTTTTTGGCAGTGGCGATGATGGTGATGACAGCGATGAAGACATCTACTACGATGATAGTGATGAAGATAATATAAGGATAAAAGTTTGCGTTTAGTCTATTAAATTTTTATCATGCACAAATATTCTTAACATGTTCTGCGAGGAACAAAAATGAGACTTTTGTCATGACCCTTGATTGTGTTGAATGGTCTATTAATTTTCCTGAGTCCTTCTTATCCATGGATTTTAGGTAGAACCAATTAAAATAGTTGCTCGTAAGTATAAGGCAGTATTTTGACAATTGAAAAACAATATATTTCAATATTAGTCATTACATTGCCAAGTCCCACATCGTGCAAGATATGTTACAATTGAGTGTTTATAAATCTCTAACAAACATGTGAGTTTGCCGAGCTGGGTAACTCTAGCTTGTAACCCAAGTGGGGGCATCAAGGTGATGGAACATGGCTATGGTTGTGCTTGGCTGGGATGGTGGTTGCACCATGTTGGCGTGCCCACTCCAAGTTGAGAGTTGAGGCATGGTGCTTGGGCTAAGGCCCTGGTGTCATGACTCCTAGAGAAGAGGGCAAAGCGTGAGGCTGGTTTCACAGAGCAGCGAACACCTCTGGCTCCTAACAGTGGAGGGATCACATGCTACTGCACTTTCATCCCACTATAGCCTAGCTAGCCAAGCTACTTGAACCATCACCTTTTCTTAATGTATTTTTATCTTCTCGTGTTCACTAATTTTTTCAACTACTTCATGAATCAATGAAACATTAAACAACTCATATAATAGAGAGATAAATGGGAGAAAAATATTCACAATGCACATACGAACAAAATTGGAACTAATACAATAATATAATTGTTGTTTAATAATTTGGAAAGGAGAATCTATCCTATTATCATATTTTTGCTCTCAAAATTTAGAGGTATATGATGAAACTAATTTAATTATGAATTAATGTTTACATAATGATAGTATGAACATTATTTATATTGTCATTTGTAGCACTCATCACACATATGTTTACTATCATACAACCATTAGCCCAAGTAATATAAATAAAAATAGGTTATATATATATATATTAAATTCATTTAATAATTAATGCTATATTTATTAAATAACTTTTTTTATCAACAATGTTGACTTACCTAATGCATATGTTGTCATCTTTTATGAGGGGTTGGCTGTCATATTAGCATATATCATGCTCGATATTAATTAATATTTATCATAATGTGTGACACCCTAATTTTGAGTCTTTAAAATTATAGTATTAGTTCTGGAAATCTCGCTTGAGCGAGAGATTCTCGCCTGAGCGAGAAAGGATCACCTAGGAGGGTGAAATCCTAGGCTATACTAGAAGATTTTCGCCTGAGTGAGAGTTGCCTCGCGTGGGCGATAAATGACAAACTAGGGCTGTTGACACTGTGAGATTCTCGCTTGAGCGAGAATCCCTCGCTTGAGCGAGAGGAAGCTGTTGGGACTGTGAGATTCTCGCTTGAGTGAGAATCCCTCGCTTGAGCCAGAGGGTCAGATCTGAGTTTTTAAAATAGTCGGGATTTTCTCTCCTGAGCGAGAATGGGCTCGCTTGAGCGAGAACCCGATGACTGCTTTTTAAAATAGAAACCCCAAACACATTTTAGGGTTAGAACTTTGAAGAGAAGAGAGAGAAGAGAGCTTTTCAAAAGCAAGGAGCCTTAGGACTCATCTTAGAGCTTGAGAAGAGGTAAACCTCTTGCTTCTAACTCTTATTCTTCCTCTCTAACTTGTTTTGGGTGTGTTGGATCTATTTTCAAAACATGAGAAACCATGGAAAGTCATTCTTTAGAGTTATGGTTCGTTTTATGTTGTTCTCCTCTTATAAACTCTTGGGTTAGAGTTGATATTTGATGAATGGAAAGGTTTTGTGGGTTATTCATGAAAACCCCAAAAAACCCCAAAATGAGAATATGAGTATAAAGAGAAAGAGATGAAATGTTAGATATGGATGATGAGTTTGTGCTTTGATGCTGATATATGAGATAAACATGTATGTTTAGATGTTCGGAAACTTGTATTGAAGTGGTTTTGGAAATCTAGAATATATGTGAATCCCTTGTATGTTTGATGATGAAATACGAGTTATTTATGTGTTATTTTGAATAAATGACTGACATTGTTGTTATTGGTGGAAATGAGGAAAGATCCCAAGGTTGGAGGAAATTGCGGAAGAGACTTTTAAAGTTACTCGGAACCGGTCCCCAATGCTCACCAAGGTAAGGGATAAGTGTCTCAAATTCATACTCACTGATGTGAATGAGGTATGTGAAAGAAGTATTGTGTTGAAAGTTTATTGTTGTTACCCTACCTGAAGAGGTAGTGGTTTATTGTTGTTACCCTACCCGAAGAGGTAGTGGTTCAATATTGTGTCCTACCTGGAGTGGTAGTGGGCTGTTATTGTGTCCTACCCGGAGTGGTAGTGAACTGTTATTGTGTCCTACCCGGAGTGGTAGTGAACTGTTATTGTGTCCTACCCGGAGTGGTAGTGAACTGTTATCGTGTCCTACCCGAAGTGGTAGCGGACTGTTATTGTGTCCTACCCGGAGTGGTAGTGGACTGTTATTGTTATCCTACCGGAATGGTAGTGAAGTATTATGACTAGACCTGCCCGATGTGGTATGGAGTATGACTAGACCTGCCCGGTGTGGTATGGATGATAACTAGACCTGCCCTATGTGGTATGGAGAATGACTAGACCTGCCCTATGTGGTATGGGTGATGAACTAGACCTGCCCTATGTGGTATGGAGAATGACTAGACCTGCCCGATCTGGTATGGATGATAACTAGACCTGCCCTATGTGGTATAGATGATGGACTAGACCTGCCCGATGTGGTATGGATAATAACTAGACCTGCCTCATGTGGTATGGATAATAACTAGACCTGCCCTATGTGGTATGGATGATGAACTAGACCTGCCCGAGGTGGTATGGAGATGTAATTGGACCTACCCGGTGTGGTAGGAGGTTATATTTGTGAAAGAACTCGGTGAAAACGATTAAGGATGAATACGACATATGAGAAACGAGGATGTTAAGAGCGAAAGTCATATGCATGCTATAGGATATATATTATGAGATATATACACTATAGGGTGAATATGAATGTTGAAAATGAAGACGTAAGAATAAAAGTAGTATACATGCTATAAGATATATAGTATGGGATATATATACTATAGTGTGGATATGAATAATGAGAAGAATGATGCTTCAAATGAATGCAATATGCATGCTATAGAATATATATTATGAGATATATATTCTATAGGATGAATATGGATAACGTGGAAATGAGCGGAAGGAGATATGAATGTTTACATTTACGTAATTGTGTTTATAAATTATAATAAAGCTTAATCGTATTTGAAATGTGGATTATCATGTGATGTTAGTTTTGAACTAATAACTTACTCCCTTTGTTTTGTGTGTTGTTTATGATAATCTCATTGTAGGTAAATAAAGGATTTTGAGAAGGAAGCTCGCTTAGGAAGCTTTTGTGTTTATTAACCTATTTGTCTTTATTTGTTACTTGACGTTGTAGTTAATTTGATAACATTATGAGATGACTGTAAATCCGTATAGATTAATACGGATAGGTGTAGTTATGATTTTAATAACTCTAGGAAACCCATAACTGGTTGTATTTGGTAAATGCTATTTTAATGAATTATGTTTTTCCGCCACATAAATTTATATGATAATATAATAGGGTAAAGGGTATTTTCAAAGAGTGATACTTGAGAGTTTTCAATGAAGGTGACGACTGTATATAAGA